CCACATTGTCAACTTAGTTTGGAGTGAGAAGAAACAAACAAATAAGCATAGAGTCCACAGTTGGCACGGGTTTTGGGGGAATTGACTGACTGGATATACTGTGTTTTGGGTCTAGTGGAGCATTTACACAGACACAAAAGTTATTTAAGCTTTGGTTTGCTGATGTGGCATCCTGGGCAGGGGCAGCTCCATCTTGGCCTAAAAATTTATTTCAATACTAGCAAGGGAAGGAAAAATAGAACACAGAATAAGCTGTAAAGATACCTCCCTTCCTCCCTCCCCTTCTCCTCCTTTCCTTCCCTCATTCTTTTCTTCCTTTCTTTCTTCTTTTCTTCCTTCCTCTTTCCTTCCTTCCTTCCCTCCTTCCTTCCATCCATCCTTTCAATGAATAGATACTGAGTAACTAATAATAACACTTACTATGTGTCAGGCATGTGTAAATAAGAATAGATGTGGTTCCTGCTCATGGATTCTGCGGTCTAGCAGAGGAGAAAGACCAAACAATCACTCAAATAAAATTCATTCTTGGGGCGCCTGGGTGGCTCAGTCGGTTAAGCTACGGACTTCGGCTCAGGTCATGATTTCGCGGTTCATGGGTTCGAGCCCTGCATCGGGCTCCGTGCTGACAGCTCAGAACCTGGAGCCTGCTTTAGATTCTGTGTCTCCTTCTCTCTCTGCCCCTCCACTGCTCATACTCTGTGTGTGTATCTCTCTCTCTCAAAAATTAAACATTAAAAAATAAAATAAAAATAAAATAAAAATCATTCTAAGTTGCTAAATGCCCTGGAGATAAAGTACAGTCCAGATAGAGAGGAACTTACCTAGTCTGGGGAATTAGTACAAGAGTTCTTGAGGAGACGAGAGTACAGCTGAATGCTGAGGGATTCTCAGGCATTCGGAGGCTAAGGGGGTGGACAGAGAAAGAACACTCAATGCTGAAGGAAGACCTTGTGGGAAGGCTCCAAAGCAGAGAGGGTCTGGCCCTATTTTGAGGAGCTGAGAAAAAGCCTTTCTGAGAGAGAGAGATAATAGAGGAAGAGAGTAAGGAAGATCATTGGCGGAATCATAAGAAGCCACTGAAGCCTTTTAAGCAGGGGGATGACACTGACAGATCTGAGCTGCCAGGAGTAGAAATGCCCGCCCTGCGGGGGAGAGAGAACATGCAGTTCAAACAGCAGGCAAGAAAGGCAAAGCCAGGGGGAAGTAACTGTGCTAGGAAAAGAAATATGGACTTTGTAAACTGGATACATTTAATTTTTTAAGTATTAAAAAAGAATGATCAACATCCATACAAACCTTGGACACAAATGCTCAAAGCAGCCCTTTTCACAATAGCCAAAAAGTGGAAACAACCCACATGTCTATTAACTGATACACTGATACATGGAATACAATGGAATCATCATTTGGCAATCAAAAGAAATGAAGTACTGATACAGGCTACAGCGGGGATGACCCATGAATGAAAACATTATGCTAAGTGAATGAAGCTGACACCAATGACCACATATTGTAGAATTCCATTTATATGAAATGACCAGAACAGGCAAATGTATAGACATAAAGGAAATCAGTGGTTGCTTAGGGCTGGGAGGAGGTGGGGATTGACTGCTAATGAGTAACAAGTCTCTTTAAACAGGGACAAGCCCGTTCTAAAATTAGATTTTGGTGATGATTGCACAGCTCTGGGAATATACCAAAATATATTTAATTGTACTCTTTGAATGGGTGAATTGTATGGTATGTGGATTATATCTCAGTAAAGCTGTTTAAAAAAAATTTTTTTTTTTAGTTTTAAAAAAATGTTTATTTTTCAGAGAGACAGAGAGCAAGTGGGGAAGGGGCAGGGAGAGAGGGAGACGCAGAATCTGAAGCAGGCTCCAGGCTCTGAGCTGTCAGCACAGAGCCCGACACGGGGCTTGAACTCATGAATTGTGCGATCACGCCCTGAGCTGAGGTCGGACGCTTAACTGACTGAGCCACCCAGGCGCCCCTCAAAAAGGTCTTAAATCAGAAAATAATTTTAAAAAGAATCCAGGAACTAGGGACATCTGTGGAAATGGATCTCAACCCTAAATTTCTTCTTACTTCATATTCATGGCACTCTAAATAATTGTAGCTAGCAAAGAAGACCACAAAGACTGTGCTCAAGGGTGAGTCAGGAGGATTTATGGCTTTATTAATACATGTTAGAATGATAGAGTTGAGCCCATTGTTCATCTAAATTAGAGCACCAAGCAGCTGTTTCAGTTCATCATTATGAGGAATGCAAATAGTACTCAAGAGTACTCCATTTTTTCAGCATTTTAAAAGAATGGTCTTAATTTGTTAAGATAAGAACTTTTCTCTTTTGAGCCTTTTTCCTTTTAAAAAATAACCCTACTATGTCCCTTGAAATATTATTTTCATTAAAATTAAAGTGTTAGCCTAACTTTAAAATGTTGCCTCAGATCTTTTAAATATTTTCCATTTCTTAGGTCTTGACTAGGAACATGTGAACCATTATTTATTAAATAGTACATAGGTTCCAAATAGCTACAGGAAATATGAGGTTGAGCAGGTGACAATGCTTCCGTTTTCACACTCTGAGAAGGCCAAGATTTCTTAGGGAAGCATTCCTGGTATCTGCAGTAATCAGTTTCATAGTTCCTCAGCTGGCGTGCGTGCGGGCGTGTGTGTGTGTGTGTGTGTGTGTGTGTGTGTGTGTGTGGTGTATGCACACGCAAATCCAATTTCATTTGGCTTGTGCTACTGACTCTCTTAGATTTTACAAAAATTTATTACAATTCCCTTTCCAGCTTCCGTCTTACTGGTGTGTGCATGCCAAAGTGTAATTCAGGCTTAAGCACTTTGTGTGTAGGCTAGTTAAATTGCTTTGTTTTATGTATGAGGAAGTTGAGACTCAGGAATGATAAGAAACCTTGATTTGGTTGCTTTGGCAGTTAATGAGAGGTCTTCCAGTTGGAACTTGTTCCTGATTTCTGTTTCTTTTAGTGAAATATCTTCATTTTCTAGCCTTCAACTTCTATCCTTTTAAATCTTACACTCAGGAATAAATATCTGCATTGAACATCACTTTACGTTGTGTTTTCCCTAGAAATGACTTTAGGAATAGACAGTAGAGGTGGTTATCTGTGTGGTGTAAATGGATGGGGAAAAAAAATCAAATGTGCCTTTCTTTTTGGGACATTCATTTTCCCAAGTAACAAAATAATTTCTATTTATTTATTTTACTGTCATTAAATAGCAGTAACGCAAAAGGTAGCCTGATGTTTTTAACAAAAGGCATTAAACAGCACCAATGCTCTGACCAAACGGATTCTAGAAGAGGAATGCCAAGGTCACTGGAAATGAAGTCTTTCAGGATTCTGTCTGTCTTGCACTACAAGTCTCAATCTCCTTGCTTCCTCAGAAGTGCTGAGTTACAGAACCTAAAATCAGTTCTCTGCAGGGAAGAGCTTTAAAGACAAAAAACAATACAGCATAGGTATCTCTCCACTCTTTAGAACTCTCCAATGCTTTCCATTGCATTTAAATTCCCAACAATTACTTTGTTAGCTTACAAAGTCTTACAGGATCTGGCACGTTTGTTTACTTCTCCAAGCCTATTTCTTCTTACTTTCTCATATTTTCCCCTCGAATCCAATTTAAGACCTCTGAATTAGCTGTTAGCTTTGCCTGGAAGACTCTTCCTTCTGATGTTTGCCTGCCTGTTAGGCAAATCAGTGCTTAAGCATCTCCTCCCAAGGTCGCCCTTCAAGCAGCCACCCAATCGCAGTCACCATCACATCATTTACTGTATTTTCTTTGCATTGAGCTTAAGGCAAACAGTTTTTCTTTCTTCCCCTTTCCCCCATAAGATTCCTAGAACCTAGACTCATTTGTCTTCATCACTGCTCAAAAGACAGCTAGAGTAGTGTCTAACATTTGTAGTAGCTCAACAAAAATTTATTGAATGGAGAAATGAACGTATGGATGCACCTTTGGTTCCCTACCCCCTCTTCCAAACAGTCCAAAACCCATGATGAGGGTACACTTCAAAATGTCTTTCTCATCTATCAGTTATTTCCACCCTGGGATAGACGTCCATGAGGAGATTGTGCAACTTGACTGGACTAGCCCTTCCGACTGCAAATGTAAATAATCACACATTAGTTTTATTAGTTTTTCATACAGAGTTTGGCTTCTCCGTGACCAATGCCTTACTTCCTGATTTACTTCGCGTAAATTGGTAAGGGTGAGCACTAGGGCCCGGAGATCCCTTGATGCTAATTGTTCAGGTTCGGTTAGGGCCGTGGGCCTGAAACGCTGCGAGTGGTCCTCCCTAGAGATGCTGGGGAGAAGGGGCGGAGCCACCCCAAAAGGATGAGCCTTACTAGGGCCGTCAGATCTGGTGGGGCTGCCGCTTTGGGAAGAACCCCGGCTATCAGAAGAAAGAGAAGCTAGCCTGTGGCGAAGCAGCAGCAGCCCAGCTGACCCCAGGAGGTAAGACCACGGGTTCGAAAGAGAGGAGTAAGGGCCTGAAACCAAACCTGCAGAGCCAGCCAAAGCTTGGGTATTTTGCCAGAGGAAAGGGTTAAACCGTTTCCAAGGTAACGGATCAGGAAGCGCGCAAGACGTTCGCCGCAGGTTCGTAGGTCAGCCTGGAGTTTAAAGCTCCCACGGCTGAGCGGATCCTGGCCAATAGAGAGGCCGCTTGGACGTCACGTGGCGCGTGGGGCAGATCCGCTAGCCGCCCCAGAGCACGTGGGAAGGTTTTTCCTGCTCGTTCTTTCATTTTTTAAAAGCCCACCCACTTTTGCGCGGGCTTGGTCACCGAGTTCTTCTCGCGAGAGGCGCCGCACCCTCTCGCGAGAGTGAGTGGGAGGTGTGGGGATTAGGTGGTGTTGCGGACTGAACTGCGGCGGCGGAAGCCGGGGGTGGGCAGGGTGGGGGCGGGCCCGCGGGGCGGGGAGGGGGGAGGGCCGGGGGCTGGTGCGGGAGGGGGCGCCCGCCTGCTCGGCGGCTCGCGCGACTGGTCGTTGCGGGCCGGTGACATGCCTGTGAGCTGCGGAGGCTGCGGCCCCCAGGTGAGGCGGGTGCGGATCCGCACGCAGCAAAAGCCGCGCGTTGGCCGGGGTGGCGGCGTGGTGCGGGGCCGCGGTGGTTGGAGCGGCCCGGCTCGGGCGCCCCGGTGTGTCTGCAGTCCCTGCTCTGATTTCGGGGCTGCCCAGAGCTGCGCCTTCGCTTGGCGGTGGGAGGAGGGCGGGAGGAGCCAGGCGGAGGGAGGAATCCCATGGCACCGGGCCTGGGGGGAGGGGGCATCCTCGGGCTTGAGACGGGGTCTTCTGGGTCCGGAGTGTGGCGGCCGGGTCGCAGCCCCTTTGAATGACAAGCTCAGTTTCCATCCCCAGAACGGTCTTCCGAGCCGGGTCTCTTCGGTGCGTAGCGGTGCGTATGCTTAGTTTGTGTTCGTGGTGCGCGCACAGGAGCGTATACCCGAGGAGGACGTTGCACTTTGTCCCCGAGCAGCATCCTTCACCGTCAGAACCTCGGAGCCTCGGAACCAGGCACAACCCAAATCTTGTGACAGAAGCGGAAGACGTCAAGCAGCTCCTCGGAGTGTTGATGTTTGGATTTGCTGTCAAAATTTCTCTGAGGCTGTTTGTTAATGCTTTCAATGCCGGCCGGCCGAATCCCGAATGGATTTGGTATACTTTTATAATTCCAGGCACCTACTCCGCCTTGCACAAAAATATGTAGATGTGACCGAAGTATTAAGAACGTAGATAAAATGGCAATGGCAGTACAATCTAAACCACTACCGTGGTGCAGCTTGGTTACAGTTCTGCTTTCCCTCTCTAAAACCTTATTAAACTGGAAGTGGTTTAGGCTTAAGATGTTCAGGATGAGAATTACAGCTGACACACATATCTGATGGTTTTAGTGCAAACCAGAGTTAAAAACTTCTGTTCTCTTTTCAGCATCATAATTATTCAGTCCCTTGTAAAACATGTAAGCTTCCCTTAGCTTCTTCCCACCTTGTTAGGGATGTTATATTGACTGATACTGATTTTAATGTGTCATGGAAATGTATAGAAAATACAGAGTATTCAAAATACAGGGTACTTAGTAATGCAGAGGTGATTTTAATGTCTTGTTTATGATTTTAGAGTAAATGACAGCACAGTTCCCAGCGCGATTAGTGTCGGTTAAAATAGTGCAATTTAACGCATCATTTTAAATATCTAGTCCCCCGTTTCAAGTAGTAGCGTGGTTTTTCTTACTTTCTTGGGTTCCTTTTGACAGAAGTACCCAGGGTTGACCGTGAATTTCACTGTTGGTTGTGGCTGTGAGTAACAGCTCAGTTTATGAGAGATCAAAGAAAGTAAGGCTGTCAGAACAAATGGTTTCCCAGGCTGAACTGGTAACTAGGGATTAGCGTATGTACCCACATAACTGCACTATTGCTGAAGGCCTCGAGGTATACTCCTGGGCCCGTGATGTTTCTCAGTTGTTGAGGATAGGGGAGGCCCTGAAGGCCCTGAACCACAGTGAGAGCTTCTTCAGCTTCTGAATTCTTGGGATAAATTTAGAATCTGAAGAATTTCCTTTACCTGTAGAGACTGGAAGAAAGATAATACATTTATTTATTTATTTATTTATTTTTAATTCCAGAAACTTGCTATATGGAAAAAGAAATCAGATCAAATCAGATGATACAGTTTGGCCATTTTTAGAGAAATTTCCACTTGTAAATTGGCAGTGGAATCCCGTTCCATACCTTAGAGAAAATGTGAAAAACTTAAGAAATGTCTGTGAGAATGGGCAAAAGAGACTGGTCTAGATTTGAAAAGTTCTCTTCCATTCCTCTTGGCAAACTGATTTTCAAGGACAGAAAAACAGAATTTTTTTCCTAATCTTTATAACCTTTTGGTAAGGGTTTCAAGCTTTTAGGACGTAGATATTTGTTGTTTTGTCTTGCCTTTGAAAAATAATTGAAGTAGCTTTGGGTAGGATCATTATTTAGGCCAGCCGAGTTTGTCCTTTTTTCTCTCAAGTGGCCTGCATTTTAGTAATAGAGTCAATCATTTGGAGGGAATTAAAGTGGAACAAGTCAGGAAGTGATCTACACTTAGCTCGGGCTTGACTTAAACGTGTGCATCAACTGGTAAAGTAGGGAAAAGAAAAAAAGATACTATATCAGTTTAAAGCGGACCAAACAGATTCAAATGCCTTCATGCTGCCACTCATCCTTGCATTTGAAAGGTCATTTTAATTGTCAAATACTTTCTAGAGTAAAGATGTTTGAAATGAATAGATTAGAGACTGAGCAGGTTAAAAGGAGAAAGGTTAACATTTTTGAATTAATCTGAGAATGTTTCATGGGAAAAAATAAGGTAAATGGTGTGGTGGTCTGGAATACATTGGGTGGAACTTGAATGAAAATGAGGCAAGATAGAGCTTGGGGTTTGGAGTCAGGCAAATATACTTAATATATACTGTTACTTAATATAGCAGAGCCTCCATTTCCACATCCCTGATGGTGAGAGTCAAAATACCTCAAGGTTATTTTGAAGCACAGAGTAGCTGCTCAATCAGTGTTTTTCCTTTGACCTCTTTCAATAGCTTGTGGATTATTTGACTGCAGGGTCACAAACCCATGTGAATGAACTTAGTTAAAAAAGGCGTTTGTCTGGGGTGCATGGGTGGCTCTTCGTTTTGGCTCAGGTCCTGATCTCATGGCTCCTGAGTTGGAGCCCTGTGTAGGGCTCTGTTCTGGCAGTGCAGATTCTGCTTGGGATTCTCTCTCCCTCTTTCTCTGTCCTCCCCTCCTCGCACTGTCTCTCTCAAAAAAAAATAAACAAAAAAGTATTTGTCAAAACATTTGGTGGATTGCTTCTGAAGTCCATTGCATGCAGTCCAACTCTTCTGGTTTTTCTCTGGGAGCACATGGTCTTCTGTGCCTGCTGCTCTGTTCTCTGGCCCTCAGGACTCTGCTGTGTCTGTTGCAGTTTCTTTTAGATTGACTCTCTTTAAAGCTCTTGGTTTTTCTGCTTCCCCCTGACTTTGGTTTGCATGAAACTTTGGTATGCTGTGGTGTCTACACCAGACTCACTTTTCTGTTGTAGCATGGTTCTCAACAAATTATCTGCATATCTTAATTCTGTTTCTAGAAGGATAATCCTGTGGGTCAAGTATGCCTTGTAGTCCAGTTGGCTGGAGGACCGGAGAAGAGGAGAATAGGAAAATGGATAGGGGAGACTTAGGTGTGTCTCACAGTTTGTAACTTTCTTAGACTCGGTACCGCAAGTTCTCTAATAAAGAGGGGATGGACAGGGAGGAATGATGAGTACCTCTGGTATACATTAACATCCTGCAGTTTGCCTTTTCCCCTCTAGTAGTGCATTGAATTTACACTCTCAGTAATGGTCTCTTTCAGGATGGATTCTAGGTTTGTGAGTGAAGGCAAATTATGTAAATGTTTCATGCCGCGGTCTCTCTGTATGTAAGATGGGTATATTAACAGCAACTTCCATTGTGAGAAATGTGAATTCTGTTTAACAGCCATTAAGCAGTACCTCCCTGGCACAGTGTAAGGATGCAGTATTATTCCTAAATGGGTGCATTCTGTGTGGCAGGTACCGCGATATGGACTCCTGCAGCATTCAGAGATGAAAGAGTATCATTTCTACCCTCAGGAGTTTACTATAAGTTTAATGTTGACCACTCCAGACATAAAACTGTTTCTTGGCTCCAGTGACATTAAATTCTTCTAAATCTTTATCTTGCCTGCTTTTCAAACTGCCGCTTGTTTATGGTTCTTTGTTTACCTGCCTGGCAACTTTTATCATGGTTGTCCCCTAAGATTCTTTCTTGATCTTTCTCTGTTCTTTCCCAGTCTCTAGGATCAGTTTTCAGACTCTGTATATATAGATGAATCCTGGAATAACATCACTAGTTCTGACCACCCCAACTAAATGTGTATCTTTTAGGTGCCTTTTGGATATTATATTGACTTAAACACTGTCTTCTAGTTACCCTATAATTGGCAAAGGTTCCACTTCTCTTCCATGTCCCCAAGCTTGAAACCTTAAAATTATCTTTCACATTCTTCTTTTTTTTTTTATGCCTTATATAGCCTATCAGTTAATAGGTTCCACACAGGCTTTTAGACTGCCCGATACGTACCAAGCACTGGGCCATTTGCAAAGTAGATCCATTCACCCATTCCTGCTACTGGTGGGTTATGGTAGAGCCTTATTACCATTTGCAAGAGCTACTAAAATGTCTTTTCAGTGGTATACTCTTTGAGTCATGGCATCATAGATGTCACTGATAAAGAGAAATGCTTTCCTAGGTTAAAATTCTTAACATATTTTTTGTTAAAATAATCTTGTAGATGGGAGTTATGTAGAAGAGGAAGAAGATTAACATTAACTTCTAAGCTACATATTCACATTGAAGCACAGCCTGAAGATTTTAGTTTTTTTGCCTTTTTTTTTTTTTAGCTGTATTTATTGTTGGTATGCAGGAAATTAGAGAAGCAAGTATCTTAATAGATGATCATTTAGGTCAGACACAAATGAGGTCTTTTTATATGGTTGATTATTGTTTTAAAAGGAAAAATAGTAACTGATAGCCATGGTATTTTTAGATATTGGAAGTAAAACAGCAAGTTGGTTCCTAAGGAAGAAGCAAACATTTGAATTCCCACTATATCAATTCCTGCTCTATCAGGTACTGTTTTTACATATCTTATGTAATTGCATTCTTTTTTTTTTTAATTTTTAAAAATGATTTTATTTATTTCTGAGAGAAAGACAGCATGAGCAGGGGAGGGTCAGAGAGAGAGGGAGACACAGAATCGGAAGCAGTCTCCAGACTTTGAGCTAGCTGTTAGCACAGAGCCCGACGTGGGGCTCAAACCCATGAAGTACGAGATCATGACCTGAGCCAAAGTCAGCCACCCAACTGACTGAGCCACCCCATGTAATTGCATTCTTAAAGCAATCTGGTGAAGATTAGCCTTAAGCTTCCTGATTTTGCAAAAAGGGGAGATAGCTTCACCTAATGCCACTGTTTGCCTATTAAGTGTTGTTTGTTTTTAATGCTTGCTTTGGGGTTTACAAGGTGACTTAAACTTATCAGGATCACTTTTTGTATACTGTAGGAACATTGTTTTCTAACCCCAGCTGACCACACTGTGTGTTTTATTTTGTAATGTATTTTACTTGTGTATATTGTAAACCCCATTATACACATTGTTAACACTTTTAGTTTAAATAGTTATTTTTAAAGGGATTAAACAAGGAGAAAATATTTGTAAATTAGTTTTTCTATTACCCTCATATTTACCCTTTCAGGCCTTCTAAACTCTTTGTTTGGATTCAGACTTCTATGTGTTATTGTTGTTCTTTTTCCTGTAGAATTTCCTTTAACCTTTATTCTCCTGATGGTTGGCTGGTGATGAATTCTCAAACCTTTCTTTAGTTCAAACACACTTATTTTGCCTTAGTTTTTAAATGATATTTCTCTTGGGTATGGATTTCTCAGTTGACACGGTTTTTAGCTGTTGCTCAGTTTTATTTATGGCTCAGCATAGTTTCTCACAAGAAGTCTGCTGTCTTTCTTCTTTTTTTTTTTTTAATGTAATATATACTTTTCTCTCTGGTTGCTTTTAAGAATTTTCTATCCCTAGTTTTCAGAA